CTCAGATCAGTTGATGTGTGTCCTCCTTTAAATGTCATTGGCTCTATTATAGACGCTTCACTCTTCATGGACACACAGCTGGACTCCGGTGAGATTGATTTCTCTCTGTGGAATTAACATTAATAGAGCAGAGACATTAGAATAGAGATCAGATCTATCTATCTATCTATCTATCTATCTATCTATCTATCTATCTATCTATCTATCTATCTATCTAGATCCATCCATCTATCCTGTATCTATCTATCCATCTATCTATCTATCTATCTATCTATCTATCTATCTATCTATCTATCTATCTATCTATCTATCTAGATCCATCCATCTATCCTGTATCTATCTATCTATCCATCTATCTATCTATCTATCCATCTATCCTGTATCTATCTATCTATCTAGATCCATCCATCTATCCTGTATCTATCTATCTATCCATCTATCTATCTATCTATCCATCTATCCTGTATCTATCTATCTATCTATCTATCTAGATCCATCCATCTATCCTGTATCTATCTATCTATCCATCTATCTATCTATCACTATCCTGTATCTATCTATCTATCTATCTATCTATCTATCTATTAGGGGTTGAACCGATTAGTCGACCTTAATGCAATGCCGTGACGCTTTAAGCTTGACGTCGACTAGTCGCGTTGATCATGTGACACTATGACTGTGCTATTTTGATACTAACAACATGGCCGCGCGTTGCAGATGACAACAGATGAAGAGCCCAGAGGGTCATTGCAGCAAGAAAGCAGCAGTGGTACATCAAGTGTGTGGAAATACTTCACTAACTTAACACTTGATATTGTTGAAAGTAAAAGCATGACGCACGCGCTCATTGTGTTTTATCGGGAAATGAGAGTTCAGTCTCTTTATTAAAATCATTAACACATTGTTTTTTTCATATATAATTATTTAAACATACGAGTTATTTATCTCGAATTCACCCGCAATTAATTGGAATATTTTTGTGTATTACTTGGATCTGCAAATCATTAACACGCAGATGTGAATTTATAGTTTTTTTTTCTTTTCTTTTTTCTTTTCATCCTAAATGATGATGTAAACAGAGGGCTGTTTACACCTGGCCAGTTCATATGTTTCTGTGATCTGATAGCTATCCAATCGTGAAAAGACCAGGAGTTTAATTCCCTCTGAAGCGCATTCGAGACGGATTTAAATCCGATCGCTCAAACCACTTCAGGAGGAGATCTGGGCCGCATTCCAGACAAAACTGGTGTAAACGCATCTGGTTGTTGAAACCACATATGTAAATTGGACTCCTCCCAACAATGCTAAAAATAAACGTGTGAGAGCGTGTTATAGGCTATATGTCATGTTATAGTCATTATATGACGAAACTATGGCAACACGCATCGCCACAGATGAGCAGCTGAGCGTCTATTCATCAAGCCAATCAAAGTGAAAGTAAGTCGCAGACGCTTAACACACAATCATCTTCGTTAAAAGTAAAGAAACAAAATGATCTTACCGGGGCTGTTGCCGCTCTCTCTAATTGCTGTCTTTGATTTTGAAATTAAGCTGATGATCAATGCAAATGCAACTCGAACTGTTGCTTTCAGTGACGTGAACTCCGTTAAATCTGCATATAGCGCGGGGTTTGAAGATCGGATTTATATCCGTTTTGCGAAAACACATTTATGTGACCAGGTGTAAATGGAATCGTTTTGATAAATCAGATAGCTATCCGATCTGAGAAAACGCATGACGTGGCCAGGTGTAAACGGCCCCAATATGAGCTGTCTGTCAGCAACTGTATAATTTTCTGCTAATAAATGGCAAATTGTGGCATGTTGCAAAGCAGTCCCATCTCTTGTGTTTTTATGAATGACGTCAGCGACTAGTAGACTCGACTTTGATGTCATAACAGTCGACTTCAAAAAATCTAAAGTCGTTCAACCCCTACTATCTATCTATCTATCTATTTATCCATCCATCCATCATGTTGTACCTCAGATCAGTTGATGTGTGTCCTCCTTTAAATGTCACTGGCTCCATCATAGACGCTTCACTCTTCATGGACACACAGCTGGACTCCGGTGAGATTGATTTCTCTCTGTGGAATTAACATTAATAGAGCAGAGACATTAGAATAGAGATCAGATCTATCTATCTATCTATCTATCTATCTATCTAGTATCTATCTATCTATCTATCTATCTATCTATCTAGTATCTATCTATCTATCTATCCTTTATCTATCTATCTATCTTTTATCTATCTATCCTTTATCTATCTATCTATCTTTTATCTATCTATCCTGTATCTATCTATCTGTCTTTTATCTATCTATCCTTTATCTATCTATCTTTTATCTATCTATCTATCTATCTATCTTGTATCTATCTTGTATCTATCCTGTATCTATCTATCCTGTATCTATCTATCTATCTATCTATCTATCTATCTATCTATCTATCTATCTATCCATCCATCTATCTATCCATCCATCCATCCATCCATCCATCCATCCATCCATCATGTTGTACCTGAGATCAGTTGATGTGTGTCCTCCTTTAAATGTCATTGGCTCTATTATAGACGCTTCACTCTTCATGGACACACAGCTGGACTCCGGTGAGATTGATTCATCTCTGTGGAATTAACATTAATAGAGCAGAGACATTAGAATAGAGATAACAGAATAGAGACAAGAATATACGTATATGATAGATGTTACATAAGGAGAAACCTCAGAAAGAGAATATCTATCTATCCTTTATCTATCTATCTATCTATTTATGTGTCTATCCTTTATCTATCCATCTATCCATAAAAGAATAGAGACAATAATTCTATAGTCGTTTTAACATGTATATAAACCTTTCACAGATAGTATTGTCTAAGAGAAGCTTTAGAAATGTTGAAGAGTGTTGCTGACATTGCACAAGGATAAATGTTACTCCGTGTACAGAGACCCTCAGAACCCTTAACAACCCTGGCAGACACCCATACATCCTGATATGTGATATACATAACATTAAGATCAAATTAACATTGAAGTACCTGCATCCCTGAGAAAAATCTCCATCTCTGAATGTGTGTGTGTCGTCCATGATTCATTCAGTCTTCATGGAGCTGCTCGGCAACACTGATGAGTCAGAGTTTAAATTTAATTTGCAATTTAGTTGAAGTTTATACTGCAACTTACTTTTTCAAAATCGTTTAGAAATAAAAACATTTTCCCTATTAATTTGCACTCTATGTTTGAATAACATAATTTATTAAAATTAATTGAATACATTTGAAATGGATTTCAGTTTTTTTTGTAAATACATATTTTCATAAAATCCCCCATGTAAATTTGATGAACAAAATAAATGCATGTCAATGTTTTATCATTACAGCCCACCAACCTGATGTTACACTGGTAGTTGTCAAATATCTGAGAACAGGCGCGCTCAACTTCCAAGCTGTTTATGGGTGCGAGTTATAAAAAGGTTATCAAATAAAGATGAAAACCGCACTCTCTAGTCACATCTCATATATTTATTATACCATGTCCACACAGACGCGTTTCAGCCTAAGCCATCATCAGTGTGTGGTGTGAAACACCAAAGGGATTGCTTTTAAGCATCACAGGTAAACCCCATTAACATCATCAAACCATCAGGTTATCAACATTGTAGAAACACACAAGGAATAACACAACAAAACAGGCCATAGATAATGCTCACATCATGTAACTCTGATGATTTCACTAGAAACAATGTAAAGCCAATTCTTCATTTAAACCATTGGGATAGGCCTATACTGTTTGTAGCGTATAAATCCAAAACGCCTCTCGTTGAAGGAGATAGCGCTCCCTATCTCCACCCCGTTCAGGAGATTTAACTAACTTGATGCCTTGAAATTTCAAAGTACAAATATCATGCCCAAATTCATTAAAATGTCTAGCCACAGGTGACTTAATGTCGTGATTACGTATGTTACTTTGTGTAATCTTATTCTTAACTCTCTTTTTGTTTTACCAACATAACAAAGACCACATGCCCATTTAATGGACTTACTTAAATTTGATATATTTGGAACATCAACGAACACCACTAACCACTCGGTGAGCGTCACAGGTTTGAAAACGAACGTTAAGGGTTGTTTTAAGGACATGTTTGTGCATGCCGGTAGACAGACACTCTGAAGCGGTCAAAGGCGATTCTAAAAGAGTCAAAGAGTCGAGACAGGACCCATCGTCAAAATATCAGTGTCCACCACTCTAGTTCTTCCAAAACCAAGGGCGTAACTTTGGGTCTAACATCGGGGGGGTTAAACTCACGTCAAATTTATTAATTTATTGAATATTTTTTTTGTGTAAAAGGTAACATGCTAATTTGTAGTTCCTGTATTAGAAATACATTGTGATACGTTTACTGATTTAGGCTACTTAACGTAAATGCAGCTGTTCCCTTGACTATTTATGCTATAATGACACAGTAGCCTAGTGTTTAAACACTAGCCAGCAGTGGCGAAATCCCATATCAACCTCAACCACTTCAACAATACAAGGAGAAACAAGAAACTGCACTTTAACTGCTTTAAAATTAACAATATACAATTGCATGACTTATTCTTGAATTGACCAAAGGGTGTAAAGGGAGAAAGTTACATTAAAAATATACCTTTTAAAAATGTATGTTAAATCCACTATTGTTTTATACTGAATTGTTCTATAGTCTATGCAGTAGCCTTTTTAATGTAATTACATCAGATTTTATTTTAAATTACAGAAGAATTAATAGTAATCCCTTTAATTAAATTACAATATTTAGATTACTTGGTAATTAATTACACCCAACACTGTATAACAGTAATTCCTCTTTTTGTCTGGCGCTGTTGCCATGGTGACTCATAATATCTAATAAAGGCTTTTTATAGTTGTGGTGCACGCACTTAATTTTTTTTTTTTTTTTTTTAGACACATAATGGTCCATATTAACTCAGCTTAACTCAGAGTCAGTCAACTCAGAGCTACAACATCATTTTCCTCTAAACGATCTTTCCTTCGCACTGGACAAAATATATTGATCTCTATGCGCAGGCTTCTTAAAAGGGACCATCTGCAAAGTGCTAACCCGAAGGAAAGCTCGTTTTGAGGAAGATTTAAATATTAAAACAATGTTATTTGTTTAGTAAAAATATTCATCTCACGAGCTATTGAACACGGAACTCCGCGAATATGCAAATATAAAACCAACTTTAGCTAAGTCTTCATCAGCCAGCCATTATTCTCCAAACAAATGGCTTCGGGCTATATGGTCAACATCATAGCCGCTGCCTATCATCATAATCACAGTAGTAGATAGCCTACTGTACGTTCATCATAAACATGTCGACTTGTTATTTCCTTAGCATCATTAGCAGGATTAGTTTTCCTCAAACAGAAACACAACTATCGGTTTAATCACACAAAAACACACAGACTGGATTTATATTTAAAAACATGAAAACTTACATAGTGAAACTTCCACATGAGTCTTTTGATCAGGCGTCAAAACTTCATAAATTACTGCATTTATCGAGTGGTGAGACCGAGAGGATAAAGACAAAACTGAAAGTAAATCGAAACCTCGAAAGTCATCATGTGACTTCCTGAATCCTGAATCCTGAATCTGGATTGGAGCCTCGTGTCACGTGACTGATCCTGTCCTCTCCACTAGGGGGCGGAGATCTCTTCTTTTAATAACAACAGGGGAATAAAACATTATACAAAACACTTGAATCCATAACAAAAACAGCTCCCATAAACCAGTTCACCTTTCAAGTTTTATTTTAATTAACCTGTTAACCTGCAACCCCATTTTTGAAAAATCCCCAGATATGGCATTCCCAAACTGAAACAGATACAGTTCATGAACCCTTTGTACTAAAAGCACAAGTAAGATCTCATTTGAAAGCTGACACCTGGAAGTTTATTGTAAATGTAGAATTAATTATTGTCATAATGAAAAAAAATAGTTATAAATAGCTTCAAAGTTTTGTAAAGTTATTATACATTTATTTTTATGAAACCTATTCATGAAAATAAAATTGAAGTTGGCATTGTAGCAATCTAGAAATGCACTGCAGCTAAAGCCACATGTCTGGCCATGTTATATTTAAAATCTGAAGATGATAAGTCTAAAACTCTGTATTTAGTTCAATGTTTTTCAAGATCATGTCATATGACTTTATTTTGATTAGACTGGGGTTTATTGTCATCTTATAAGCATCTATTCAGTCTATTGCCTCTATTGTTTTGTGATGCAAAAACAAGCCCCATTCAGTCTCAGTCTCCCCTGCACATATTCACACCTCTCCACCCTGATTATTGCTCTAAATATGCTTTTCTTTTGTCTGCATTATAATCACTAACGACTAGCAATTCACAATGTTTCAATCCCTCATTTCTTTTATAAAAGTTCTCACTTCACAGTGAAACTGTATCAAATGCCCTTTTTGAAAAACGAAACATTTCAGTAAGCATTCTTATTTAGAAAAAAAAAATCATAAAAATTACACCGAAGTTAGGTAGCAGGTGCTCAGTACTAGCTAGCATGTTAGCTTAGCACACCATCAATACACGACAATTTATGAGAATAAAACTATGTTTGTGCTCTAAACTTACTTTATAGCGCAAGTCGAGTGTTTTAAATAACTTTCTGTAATCTGATTTGGCTTCAGATAAAAAAATCAGATAGAAAATATATTATTTTATTGTATTCTGCACAATTTGAAAGTCTATCTCGATTAGCATTACATTATACATATAATCTATTATTATGAAAATACCTGACATGACTCGAAGAACACAGGTAAATCAAATATCATTGCAATCATGTTTATTGTCTTCAAAACATCTTTATCTGCACTTTACAGCGATCTCGGATAGCTTTGTTTATGTATCAGGACTTCCTGAATGTCACATGATTATGGCTCTTCTTCATGTGATCCATATATGGACTTTACTGTGCAACAGCGCCCCAGACTTCCGTATGAATGGATAACTCAGTACATCAGAGAATACAGCGCTCAAAATGATTACATCGACGCATTTGGGTATAAATTCAATAAATATTATTCCTGTCTATAGAAATCTGATGTAAACCTATGATAATCTATCAATATTTCTCCAAATCTGCACATGTTTGAGCTAAAAGCCCTGAGGGACGTTGTTTTGTGAATCGCTGTCATGACGATCGCACGGGAGTTTTTTTCTGAATGAGACCGGCTGACGCTCATAATTCATATTAAAGTCCCACTCCGATCATATTTTGAGCTATTTTTAAACATTCCCAGTGGTCTTTAAATTATGATTATGCCATTTTTAGCTAAAATCACAAAACCTGTGCTGTTTTCTGGGACCTTGCTTCAGCAGAGCGGCAGTAGCTCATTAGCAATTCGCCTCTGCGTTGTGGGCGGAGCCGTTGGCACGGAGACGACCCTCCCCCTGCCCGTTGCTGAGAGCTCTGTCTCTCCCGCTAGCTTACATCCCCAATACCGGTGGGGCAACAGTATTATATACACGTTAATTATTATTATCCGAAGTTAATCAAAGTTATCACCGATCACCGATCATTATTTCACTCCAAGACGTCGCGTGTGGAGACGCCCAGTGGAGTTACTACGTCACAACTCCAGTCTATTTTAGCCTGCATTTTAGCGTCTGCTACTGATTCACAGCCATTTGAATCTAGAAATACTCAGAAATACAACTTTGAGCTTATTTTTCTCAAGGTATGTCCTCTAACATCAGAAAAATGCCACAAGAACATATTAACACCTAGAAAAACATTATTTTCATCGGAGTGGGTCTTTAAAGGTAACGACTCATTTTTTAATTTCATAACTCCTGACACAAATTAAGACATAACTGTCACTATAAGTTTCTCAGAATACAATAGTGGTCAAATACTGAAACTTGAGTCTTATATCGTTTTAATGATGTATAGTTTGTCAAGTTAATAACATTAAATATGATAGTAACTTTGAACTATTTTAAAAAAAAACGCTTCAGAGCGCCCACGCACTGGTGACGGTTAACAGGTTAAACATTTTTATAATAAAAACTACATTTTTGAGTTAATAATATATAATTGGTCCAGTTAAACAAGCTCTT